TTGTTAAAGGTCAGGGAGGTCAGGGGTCACAAATTGACTTGCTGGATCCTGGCTGGGGGACGCGTCATGCCGGCTTTTGGTTAATAAAAGATTGGATTTTTATTTATTTAAGATTTCCAGCTCTGCCTCCCCTTGACTTAACACTCTCTGTGCCATAATATGGTATAATGGGGGGTGGCCTACTGCAGACTCCTGAGACCAGCTTTATTTCCCCCGGAGCTGTTATAGTTATTACCGAGATCTGCTTGACAGGATAGTGAGCTCGGTGGCAAGATACTGCAGCCACAACATGGTGTCATCATTGACTCCAGACACTAATGTAGCCCTGGGGATCCACCTTTTAATTAGACACTAAATCCTCTGAGTATCATGTCAGGGCAGCGGAATTAGCACACCTATAATACAAATTCCTATAGGGAAGTATGAGGGAACAATGCAGAGCCAGGCTTTCAGAGGAAGGGGTGGGGAACAGAGAATTTTAGTGATGCCGTTACTGAATTGGCACACAATATGTATTTGAAACCAAAATTTCATATGGCTCATCCCACATCTTCAACGTGATCATTGAGATTTGCAAATTAGAAATATGGTTTTGAGCATGGAAGAAAGCAAAATATTAAAGGATGGCTCCACCAAATAGTTTTGGATGGAGCATTGTTAAATAAAAGAAACGTTCATCAAACATTATACATGCTATACGATCTGCTGTTTTGAAAGACCTGTGCTAATCAGAGCCACTGATTGGCTGTTGTGGTTTGTCATTGCCAGGTCAGTTTTTTTAGAAAAATATTCCTACATTTACCATAGCAAGCAATCATATTTGATTATAACTAGAATATCATTTGTCCACCCACAAGTGATATTTTAGTTATAGGTGGGACCAGGGGCTGAGTCACCTTCTTGGAGCCTACACATGGGAGTTTTGGGTGTTCCTGACCACCTTTGCATGTTCTATAGTCTCCTGCTGCATGCACTTTATTAGGGATAAGCTCAGGTTAGGACTGAACTTGGTCCTAACCTGAGCTTCTTCAAACAAAAAAAGTGTCATGGGCACTTCCGCCCAATCAGCTGTGGTATGGGCATTCCCCGTCTGCAGCTGCATCTAAACAAAGGTGTGGGATGGTTGTGATCACGTCTTTTACTTAATATGGCCACATAGCCAAGTAAATGTAATTTACCAAATATAGCCATGTAACCATATAAGGTCAATGACATCACTGCATTTCATCCCTTTGCTTAGGTCATGCTTTGGGCAGGAAATTCACCACCCGCAACTGATTGGTTGACACTGAAGAAGCTTCCTTCTGGGTTCGGGGGAGCTAAGGTTCGGACCGAGTTCGGTCCAAACCTAAACTCATCCCTACTCCTTAATATTAGCTCACTAAAACTAGGGATGCACCGATACCGAGTATTTGGCCGAGTACTCGCCCAAATGCTCTGATACTTACCTTCGATACTGGAAATTCCGGTCAGAGGGAGATTTTCTCTGACAGGCAGTCAGAGAAAAGCTGCATATGTTGGTAGGCCTAAAGGAAATGTATAGTAACATCTATTGTCCAGCTTTATGTCTCCGTTCCAGATTTATAAATACAATGGTATACTTAGGGTAAAGCTGATTAAAGTAGTATTAAACCCTCAAGCCTTGTTTAAGTAATGAATCCAGATCAAAGACATATACAGTTTTTATTTTTGCCCATGCACTTACTGTCATCCATTGCCTTGAACTTCTTGTCCAGAAGAGCAATCTCCAGCAGCTGTCCATCTACACAGCGGTGACATCTGGGCCGTACTGCTCTGATCAGGAGAGGATCTGTGCACAGATCCTCTCCTGATCAGCCCGTGTGAAAGGGGCTAAAGGTGTATAGTCAACACATTATGGGGCAGCTACATTTCTTCCTTCATATGGAATGTTTTTATTGATCCTAAGGATATATAAAGTGATTCAAAATATATGGATGCCGTTGCATAGATAAGATATTTGCAGAAAGGATTTGGACCTTAGAGAACATCAAACTGTTGGCAGGACTGGGCTGGGGGTATCGGCATTCGCCCCCTGGTCCGTACATATAATATCTATTGGAGGGAATTTTATGTAAGTGTTTGCTACAACATTTTTAGGCTCAAACAACAAGATCTCATGCTATCTAACCTCAAAGTCTTTTCTCTGTTATGTGTTTCTTTTTTAAGTGTCCTTGTGATATATTAATATTTGTGAATCAGCAGCTGTTTCCCCTAGCTTGGTGAAATTTTACTTTGGAAAGAATACCCAATCATGTACAAGAAAAATAATAATTAAAAAAAACACACAAAAAAACCAACTTATTTTTGATGGCACATGATTGGGTGATGGAAGTCATCAGAGCTTCACCTCATTCAATAAAGTAAGGGGAAACTCAAAAAGTATTTTTAGCATACATATATAAAAGGTTATGTTAGAGTAATCCATATTCTCTAAGACAACACCCACCTTTCACCATGGCCACCGAACACTTTTTGTGGTGCACTTTCTTCAACTGTCCCTACCGAAAAAGGTTGGTTGGTTGTGTTATCCTTTTAGGCCAAAGTTTAGTAATGGTCAAATGGAACATTATTCAAAGATGCTTGTGTGTTTAATTCTTTGGTATCCAGGACATAGCAGCTCAAGCCATGCTTGGTAAACAACATTATGACTTGGAATAGGTCCAGTTTTTTATTTTTAGAGTACTTCTAAAAATGTAAATGTAGGTTAATGTTTTTGGGAGCATTCAACAGTGATCTAGAAAATGCTTTCATTAAAAAAAGGTGTTTCTGTAAAGCGAACCTGTAATGGGTAAGTTCTCATTACTAACTTGTTTTGTAAAGAGCTTAAACTCCTGCTGACCTGGACAAGCAGGACAGTTTAATCTTCACTAGCTGCAGGTTTGTCCTAGGTTTGTGACATGCTACCTAAAGCTGGCCATACACCTTACAATTATCTGCAGATTTTCTGTGGTCAGATGGAAAAAGTGCAACAGATTGCCCAGTTGGAGATTACTCCATCCACACAGTTGTAGATGGAGGAATCTGTTGCACATTTTCCATCTGACCATAGAACATCTGCAGATAATTGTAAGGTGCATGGCCAGCTTAAGACAGCCACCATCTTTAAAACAAGTCAGAAATGTCAGTTCCCATATTTATTTCCTCACAGGTGCTCTTTTAAAAAAAAAGTATGCAAATCTGCCCTTCTCTGCTTTGCTTTTCATTGCTTTGTATTTGTCTGTTTCTTACTGCAAGTATGTGTGGCTATATATGCTGTGTGCTAAGTATTTGTGTTTATGATGGCTGAGTAAACTCATTCTCCATCATGCACCTTGTGTTTACATGAATGCATCTACTATATACATTTAAGAAGTATAAAAATAATTTTATATGTGTGGTTTTACATCTGGTTTTCATATAGCATGTAAACAAACACACACCCATGCTACATGGGCAGTTTTAATCACTTGCAAGTGCTTGTGAAAGTATGACATGTTGAACTGTTCAGGCGGCATTGTACATTGCCAGGTGATCACAACTGGCTTTTTGCCAACTTTTCATTATCTTTGTTAAGGCCCTTTCACATTGGTCTGATGTGTTAATCGTACGGTTCCGTGCATTAACAGTGTGGGAGGTGCGTTGCGTTCCCATTCATTTGAATTGCCTCAAAAGTGGGCCTATGGATCGATACCTTTCTCTTTGGTAAGGGACATGATGAATGGCGACCATGATCTTGTAAGCTACCTACAACCATTAGATGATGGCCAGCGGTGCATGCACAACACAACTGCTGAATAAAGTTTGCATTGGGCGAACATTCATGTTTGTATTTATTGAAGAGTGGAAGGAAAATGTTGTGGATACCATTCTGGTCAGTTAGCTTTCCTGGAAGTGGTGTTGGTCAGGTTTATGGAGAAGCCATGAGGATATAGGAGTTTTCTGATGCAGCCATAATTGACTGGATAAGACAAGCATTCTCTCATGTCTTCAGCCACCTAAAGACAGATGTGCAAGAACCTTTTGAAAAGCACCAAATAGTAGGGTGCAGAGTGCATAATTGTGATTGCTTAGCTTTAGATTATCTCAGGGGAAACAGTAGCTGTCCGAGTTTTCTAAGATGTTCAGGCTTTCTCTCCTGAGACGAGTGTGCCATAGTCCATGGATATATGGGCCATAGATATTAGAGAGTAGTGTTCCATTCCAGCCTTTTTTGGCTGGATTAGTCGCTCTAATGTCTGTGAGGTAGTGCCAATTGAGCATTCTTTTTGACAAATGAAAGCTTTGCGCTGCTGTTTTCACCAGTGCCTGAGCTGTCACCTACTTGTGCACACTAGGGTGTAAATCTGCAATATTGGATTGGTGGGCAAAAGGCTCTTATGTTCAGGAGCGTCTTTATATGATTTTGACATTACCCACATAGCTGTTGCATTGTATTCAGGGGGTTGGCAGAGCCAGAGTCTTCAATTGTAAGAAGTAGAAGAAGTATAATAATATTAGTAGAAAGTAGTAGAAGTAGTATAATTGCACATAAACTGTGTAGCACTGCAACGCAGAAAGCAGTGCCTGTGTATTGAATGAGCAAATATGGCTGCACCTTTATATATTAGAAACTCTCGATAGTAGCAAGGTTATCTACAGCAAGCAGCTCTATTTTGCATGTATATCTAAAAACATTTAAGGGACTATACATCCCATGTAATTCTATTAGTTTCATCAGGTACTCGGCTTGATTGGAAGAACTTGAGTAACACAAAGTTTAAACCATTGCCTATAGCAACCAGCCATATGTTGTCATGTATGGATTAGGAAAAATAAAACAGATAGCTGTTGCATTGGGCAATACCACCTTTTCTTTTTACACTGCTTTCTTAAGGTGAGCCTTATTGGAGCCATTCTTATTTACAATAACCAGTGAAGTATGGTATGATGTGAGGTTCAGTTTCATTAACATGATTTGACATCTAACTAGAAATTCCTCCTCTTCCTTGCTTTGTTTCAGAACTAGAAGAGAACTTTGAGTTCATCATTGTGTCTCTCACCGGCCAAAGTTGGCACTTTGAAGCTACAAGTTATGAAGAGCGGGACGGCTGGGTACAGGCTATAGAGAGCCAGATTCTTGCCAGTCTACAGTCCTGTGAAAGTAGCAAGAACAAGGTGAGAGTCCATGAACCCTGATATTTACTTAAAATTGATTGTTCAATAAATAAGTGCTTGAGGAACCTGAATGGTTGTCAAAATAATTTCATTGCAAAGATCACATCTGCCTGCTCATGACCATTTTTATGATTTGAATAGTAAAAATGCCTTTTGTTTTTCCAGTTTCTGTATCTCCCTTTACCAAATACATTACTGCTGCAGTGTTTCCCTTAATTGTTTTTGGCCTTATAATAAATATGGAAATGTGTAGATGAACTGATAAGGAGTGCTCTGTATTTTGCCTAATTCAAACACCCTTACTAACTGTTGACATATGAGATATCAGCCACACAAGAAATGCATTGTTTTCAATCAGTGAGTTAACTCACGTGAGATAGTAAATCACCAATATTGTGTAGCACTGCAAAGCAGGAAGCAGAGCCTGCATATGTAATAAACAAATATGGCTCTGGCTTATTTATTTAAAAAAAATTAAAGAAATAAAAATTCCCTTCCAACCTTGTACACACACACAGATGTGGATGTACATTTGTGTACCACTTTAGACTCTTTGTGGATTGGTCTACCTGAGGGTTGAGAAAAGTGAATAACCATAGATGTGCAATTGGATAACTTCACTGCAGTCTGGAATAACTTTTACATGTTCTGAAGCAGGATTCATATATAGAAGGCCTTCTTTTGGAAAGTACTTTTGACTTTTGACTGTGAATAAAATGTATGCACTAGAGAGGGATCTGATTACTGTCACCTAGACCGCACATCACTGTCATGAAGCAAAACGCCTGTATGAGAGGCCTGAGATGGAACCTGGTCATCGAGTTTCAGGGCAATGAATGTGAGGCTACAAGTGAAATAGTTGCTCCAGAGCCAGTATGCCGTCCAGAAGTTAGAGAATGGCCACTACTACAGGAGGCCTCTCTCACAAGTGATTTGCTTCATGACCGATTTCCTGCAAAGGTCTGTAAGTAGTACATTGGTATTGTCATTGCCAGTATGGACAAGCTGTGCTATTCACTTTGAGTACTATACTGGCTTCTTGAATACATTTTTTTGTAACATTATAAAAGCATGGAATGAGTAGATTGCTTTGCACACATGCCTTCTCGATGTTGGTGAGCACACTAAGGGATCATTGATTGATTGCAATAAATTCATAGCTTTGATGTTCAAAAATGTTAATCCTATCAGAAAAAAAATGTTGCTTTGCAAAGTGCTCGCACTCTACCATCTGACCCTTTTCCTGCTTCTTTTCCCCTTCAGTCTCGTCTCACCAGCCAGAATGAAGCTTTAGCTCTACAGTCAATTCGCAGTTTACCAGGAAATTCTCATTGTGTGGACTGCGATGCACCAAGTAAGTATAGATCCCTAGAGACAGCGCAATGAACTATCTATCTGCTCTCCTACAAATAGACAAACATTAGCAGGCCTCCTCCGGATAAGCAGACTGCCAGGATTCTTAACCTCACATTCTCCAAGTACAAAGTCATCAGAGACTGAAACCTCCCATATTCTTAAGTACATAGGGAACCAGGGAGATGTGAAGGTCTCTTCAGATACATGTTAGATGGCTTCTTTGGAAAAGCATGATTAGGTCCCTTTTCTACTGATTTCATGGTGAGTTGGTCCCTAGAGGGCACTGTTGCACATGGGATTGTACATACTGTTCCCTTAGTAGAGATTGCAGATCCCATATAAACTAAAAGGCAACTAAACCTAAAATAGAATTTCCTAAATAACGTATTAACAACATTGGCAATTAAATATTAAACATGTAGCAGCAGAATTTAAACAAATCATTTTTTATAATTGCTACTGACATTTTTTAGCCTCCTAAAATCTTATCAAGCAATCGCAAAACAAATTGAGGACATATTGCTTGCTGCCAGTTGCTTGAATCCCAAATAATGGGGAGTTTACTAATGCGTCACTAATACAGGAAAACATTGAGTAAGTATTGATCATGGATGATAGCTCAGTACATGGCAGATACAAGGTGACGTGCCTGGACACCAACCGTGGTTGTACTCTACAAATCTCAGATGAAGGTTCTTTAAAAAACCTGGTTAAGGCCTCATTCACACTGCCGTACAATACGCTGTGTCTATGCGCGTACGCGCAAATTGTCCGATATGCAAATAAATGGCTCCATACATAGCTGCGTATGGAGCCGTATATTTGCGTAGCGTAAAGATGCGCAAAAACAGAATGGACCCGAGATGCGTCCGGGCAGCGTATTTCTGCGTATTTTACGTGCGTACAGTTCATTAAAATTTCTATTACGAATGATGCATTCTGGGATTGCATATAGTGCACGCATATATACGCAATATACAATTTTACTCTTGCGCTGTGTGTGCATGAGGCCTTAGGCTTACAGAGAAATCTTTTGACCCTGGAAATTGATTGGACTGCTCTAGATAGGTATCAGCAAGTATTGCCTTTCTCCTGTATACAATTGCCTAGGGATGTTTTGTTTTACCTTCCTCTGGACCAAAGCTGCACGAGATGTAAGATGTTAAACTTAACACATATGGTTTTTTTTTTACCCTTATAAGCTATGTAACAATCTTACACTGATTAAGAGGAATAATGTATCCTGTCTGAGGTTATGCTTTCATTGTTATAGATTCTGAGGCCCTAGCACTTGTCAACCTAAGCAGATATTCTGTCTTGATCATCTTTACCCTAGTAAACAGATACATTATGCAGTAACATTTTATTATGGGGCAGCCCTCCCACAAATGCTCTCGATCACCTGCTGGTGTATTGCTTCTATTGGGGATTCCTGCAGCTGATTCCCCCACCCTGTCTTATTGTTCTTGAGATTTTGGCTGTTTACATTTGGGAGTGCCTTGTTACAGTATATATAACATAGAATATATATTTTTTTAAACATGAGGCAGTTTTACATCCATTGGACTGTGCTAGTATACAGATGTGTCAGAACAAGATTTTCACTTTTTGTCATTACACGTACTGCAAATAAAATCTCCTGTGATCCAGGATAGTCAAAGATGACACATTTGGCATAAAAACCAGATACCATTTCCTTTAAAGGCATACCTTTAGACATTGTATTAAACTATTATATTCTATTAAGCTAATCTTCTTTTCTAATCTTCCCAGGCCCGGACTGGGCCAGTCTGAACCTTGGAGCCCTGATGTGCATAGAGTGTTCTGGAATTCATCGCAATTTGGGGACCCATCTATCCCGTGTCCGTTCCTTAGACCTTGATGTCTGGCCGCCTGAACTCATAAAAGTCATGTCGGCCATTGGAAATGAGCTGGCCAACAGCGTGTGGGAAGGAAGCAGTCAAGGACATGTAAAGCCGTGTTCAGAGAGCCCTAGGTCAGTATCAAATGTTCCCTGCCACCATCTGATACTGCTCAGTCTATCCTAAGAATTTATTTAAGGAACAGCTAGGTTTTTTTTCAATGTGAATATATAAACTGTACTTCATGTACAGTATAGCTACAGTTTCTCCTGCAATGTAAAGCACTGCACCTTTATGTAATTCGGTAACACCTTTAAGGAAAGCTGTATTGAGAAGATGTTCGCTGTCATGCTGAATGCTAGTTGCCTGGCTGTTATTCTAAACTGGAGATTTCAATATGTGCTGGGTCACCGACCTGGAACAAATATGCAATTCAGGAATTCTGGCTTCTCTAGGTGTATGCTAGGTTTAGGTCAGTAAGTTAAACTGTACTATGACCAGAAATGAACAGGCATCTAGAACTTTCAGAAGAAGGCCAGCAATGCAGCCCTCTCATTTGTCTCAGTACAAGCTTCCTAAAAAAGTATTATATCACTATAAAAAAATGTGAAGCACCACATCATTCTCTTTCGTTCTTGTTTAGGGAATGTGCTAGTTTATTCTGCGTATTGTGTATTTTATTACTATAACAACATACATTTACTGATTTGATCACTGATCATTTATTAATTTTGAGTATACGTTTTTTTAAACTTTTTACATTTTTCCAGTTGTTTCCACTTCATAGTTTGTGCAGCTCTACAACAGGGCTCCCCAATACTACCATATACAGGCAAATAAACAGTGGGCCCCATCCACCTGAGGTTCTCCTGTTTCTTGGTGTATATTTCTGCATGTATTGGGGGGCCATTTCAGCAGGCAGCCTTAGCTAACCTATCTTAAATGGAAAATGTTAAAATAGACATATGCAAGCGGCGAACGCTGACTTGTTTTTAAAGGTACAGGTTCCAGGGCTGTCACTTTGATTCTGTCTTCAGTCCTTACTGTGTCGCTGACTTAAAATAATTATGGGGTAGTCTTGCACATGTGCTCTCTGCAGGAGGGGAATTACCAAACCAACTGGTCTGCCTGGCACATGTGCCAAATTGATGACAAGACTGCTATTATCTTCTTCAGAGGAACACATGTGCCAGACTTGTGATGCGGTATTTACAGTTGAGAGGCGCAGCCGTGGAGTTAGTGTTGCGAATAGTTTGGTACCATGTGTATGATTTTTTAATGCTGAGGACAAGGGGGACTATTGGAGAGTTCCACTTTAAAATAAGTAGATATTATTTACGTGTATCTAAAGCCAAAACTGTTTATTTTAGTTTTGGATGGAGTAGGGAAGGGTTAGGACTTGTGTAATGTTCTTATATCTGTCCGTCCCTCATTGGGAAGATTCATTCTTTGTGTTGTCATTGTCACTAAGACTGAAAGCGAGGGACAATTCCAAACGTTTGAGTTTCTAGGCAAAGATGGCAAAAAAAAAACAACTGACAGGTTTTTACCTTTCCTACTCTGTTCAAAATAAAAAAATGAGTTTTGACTTTAAAGGGTATGTAAAATAAGGCTGCCTAAATCTATTTTAAAGGCAGTCCCTGGGTTACGAACAAGATAGGGGCTGTAGGTTTCTTCTTAGGTTGAATTTGTATGTAAGTTGGAACAGGTATATATTTTAAATGTAACTGCAGCCCCAGTAATTTTTTTTGTTTTGGATAGCATAGGGAAGGTTTTACCTCCTGTAATGTTTGTTTTGCTGTGTGTGCTCCTGTTCAGAAGATTTCGCCTCACTTTCTGTCCCTGTGACAATTGGATTTTGAAAATGTTGGGTTGTCGTGGAAGCAAGGATTGGAAGCTTCAGGGGAGACCCCTTTTTCCCATCACTCTTACAGGAATTAATTTCCCTTCCTAATTGTAGATTTCCTCTCACTTCCTGTTGTCTCAAGGACAGAAAGTGAGATTAAATCTTTTTATTAAGGTACAGACAGCAGTAAAAACCTCACAGTGACCTGGAAGAAGAGGTGGGCACCCCTCGTCTGCACGTCTAACAAGAGCCAACTTCCTGTAATGTACGTACAGTACTACAAACCAGACCCAAAAAGGTGGGCATTCCTCATCAGCACAAGCACGGTAGCATTGCAACTACCCTTGCTGTACAGTAATGGCCTCCGTTTGTAAGTTGCAGTCGGATGTATGTAACCCGGGGACTGCCTGTACTACTTAGTCACTGTACAGGCACTGTAAAACTGATCTCACACATTTCTATAAGATTCCCCAGCCAGTTAAGATCTTACACAAATGTAAATGTCTGTGGGTTTAATGGAGGTCCAATGCATTCATAAAAATTTGGAGAGACGAAAAATGTTAAATTACAACAAACGTGTTTGTAAAGCTGGCCACACACACTATATAATCTTCCCGTTTCAATTAGTCTTTGATAAACATTCATGCCAATTTATAACACAAAGCGGATATCGCTATTCTAGCCAATCTCCACTATACTCTGCAAGGTTACTTCACACCACAGCTAGCATTTTAAGGCCCATTAGCGTATGGGCCTCATGGTGATGCGCCTTCCTGTGCTTTTGGGGGACTTTGATTCTTGCATTTCGCAACTGTTCTTATTGATCATCATTGGGTCACCAGACGCACGCCAAACACGTTAAAGTAGTACATGTCACAAATTTTGAGACATGCATTCTGCATTTTTCCCCCCGCATGCTCAGCTATATGCGGGGTGCCATTACCTATGGCAATGCAAGCGCACTCCGCGTTCACGTATTGTGAACACACTTCAAAGAGTACGCTGTTGGATGCACCTGGTCGTCTTGGTGTTAATCGGGATGTGGAGCCTGTGTTGGCATTGGAGGAAAAGCCAGTCACATGACTTTGACAGGTCACATAACTGGACTTCCGTTTCAGCTCTCCCCCAAAGTCAGTGGAGTGCCAAACTTTGCCTTTTTTATATTTATTTTGAAAGCAGGACGACAGTAAGGCAATACCCCGTTTTTTAAATCGACACCATAAATTGTATTTCCACTTTTGCAGCCAAAATGGGGGATAAAAGTTGCTGCTTACCTTTTTTATTGCTGAAACAAATCTTATTTAGCTTTCCTCTGCTATGTAATCCTATGCAGAGGGGTGGGGAGGTTAATGTTTACCATACTTAACCCTGTCTGCACTGTGGTGGCAGATTTCCATTATCAGTTGTCAACTAGATGTGCAGGACTGTCTGTCCTTACAAAGGGTTAAAGATCGCAAGACTTTGGGGGATGCATTGCATGTGAATGGGAATACATAACAAACATGTAGTTGGTGTTTCTCTTTTGTGACTGCAACGGCGGAAATACATTTTAGGTTCATTTCAGTTTTATACAGTACACTCCACTCTAAAATTGAGATTGTAATGTGTGTGGTTAGTGTAACTCCAGACAAGCAGCTCAGCAAAGTTGTAGAAAGAACATAGATACTGCAGCAGCACAACTTGGCGAGGAACACTGTTGGCTAATTGGACAATGAGGCAGCAGACTGAGAAGGTCATCTCTCTGCTCACTCTGCATTTCCTCGGGTGGGCATGTTCACTTTCAGCACAATTATATGCAGCACATGTGTGGCTGGTTGCCAACATGTGTTCTGCTATGCAGGTGATAACACTGTGTGTGTGTTTAAAGAGGAACTCCAGGAAAACTTTCTTAACCCTTGCAGGGGGGCTACTCCCGCACAGCAAGCGTTAAGTGCTGGTTGTTGTCTATGTGCTAAAATAACAAAGTTATACTCACCTGAAGCTCCAAGGCGGCCAGCTGTCACAGCTCTCCCTCCAGCCTGTCTCTGGTTGAGCAGGCTGCTGCACTGGAGGGGGAGAGAGGTTGGAAGGACCAGCCTAAAAACAAGCAGGCTGGAAGCATCAGGTGAGTAGAACTGTTCTCTTTTTAAGCTAGACAAAAACGAGCAGTTAATATTTTTTCCTGGAGTTCTTTAATTATATTTTAATGCATTTTTACTTCATTTGTTTGTGTTGCATATATTCGCCCGGAGTTCAGCTTTAATTCCATTTAGCGTGTCGTGTCTGATCACTAGGGGCAAATGCTGTTATTAAGGGGGATGATTATTGCCCCCTTTTGCAGAATCGGCTCAGTGCACACAACTAATGTTGCTTGCTCTACAGTGTTACATTTTTAGTTTATTTGTACCAAGCTGTCTAATTTGGCTTTAACCTCTTCCTGTTACTCCTTGGCATGCCAATTAGCAATAGATCAATATCACATGATCTGACATTGCAAAGGGACAAAGGAGGCCAAGAACTGGACCCTCCAAACTCATCAGCCAACCCAAAACCTGTCACCTATTTTATACGAGACTGTGGGGTTCAGCTTTAATTTATACAACTGACTCCAAAACACAGTGACACGGAGTGTCTTGGGCACCAAATTAAAAAAGGATTCCCTCTCCACATCTTTTGTTATTTCATCTCAGCCCTCATATCTCCAACAGTGAACCCATCTGCAAAGCAGAACACCTCCCCCACATGTGATCTTATTACTTTCTGCAGAAGGCACACAAAAAAATGAAAGATTAAAATGTGAGCATCCATATATACAGAAAATGTAGACCTTGAAAAGGTACCAATATATATTGCTTTCACAGTCACTTTTCAGTAGATGTATAGCATACAGCGGTGTGCAGTAACGTGTTGCTTCTGGTAAGGTTTTGATTTGCTGATGTGAAAGGCAAGAAGATCAAATTAACATATTATTATTTCTTAGCAACTAGTTCTCAAATATTTCACTTTACCACTGAGTAAATCCATTACCGTCACTAATATTGCAGAAATAGTTCAATGATTGAAATTGTTATATAGTTATAGTTAGCCAGGTTGAAAAGAGACACAAGTTCATCGAGTTCAACCTATAGAGTTATAAGAGAAGAGAAAAAAGAAAAAATTGTATTGCTATTATTATATTAAATGTGTTTTTTTAATGTTATATATATATATATATATATATATGTATATATGTGTAGGCACTGCAGCATACATAAGTTAATCATATATGCAAGGTGACAATGTATCTGATCACAAAAGGTGCAGAACTGT